ATTGTTGTTCACCAGGAGAGAGAAACTGCTTTCTCTTGTCGAACAGCGCCGCAGGATCTTTAACACCCACCTGAACTGGCAGACGGAGCCTCGCGTTAACGTTTCCTCCGAAAGACAGTTATGAGACAGAATGAAATGTTAAACAAGTTCAATGGCCTGATTAACCCCCTGCCCCACACGCCATATTTTGTGGGCGAAACGTGGAAGCCAATTGCACGCAGAAGCGTCCCATAAACAGTCGTGGAATGAGTAACTAACAATCGGGTTCCTTCTAAATACTCGGTAATCAGAACTGTGTGAAGTAAGAAAACCAGGTCCTTTCGTTTGCAAGGCGAGTGCTCAACCCACTACACTACAGGGACTCCACTGATAAAACTCAGCTCCATTCTCATCCGAGCTGGGGGAAGCAATGAAGGAGCATGGCTCTGAGCAGTCCTGGGGTAACCAGGCTCTAGGTTGGTATAAAGTCACCCCTGTGGCAAACTAATCAATACCGTGCTTCAGATCCTGAGGCTCTAAAGATAAAACCATCAGCAACGCAGCAGCTCATCCTTCAATACCAAACAACAAGAAGTGAAAATACAACAATAACAACACAACAAGATTACATTTGTATAGAACATAAATAAAATACTCGGGCAGCTGTTTGGCTAAATCAAACATTTGATACAAAAACTATTTGAATTAATGCCATCAGATTGAGACATCCCCAGTCCACAGAAAAAACAAAACAACATTGACTGGGAATGTGGACTGACTGTACTGTGGCCGAGAACATAAACAGACAGTTCAGTAAGAGGAATCCTTCACTCCTTCACTCACCTGATTGTCCACCTTTCCCAGGTACAGCTCCACTCACACACAGTCAGTCCATTGTTACATTGCAATCACAGTTTCCGCCACTGTTCCTTTCTAACCTGCCTGACCTTTACATACATCACTGCCGTCTCTTTGTAGAGAAAGTTAGACTCTATTCAGGGACTAAGTCACTCAAAATCCCTCCACGTTAGAGTAAATCCTGTGAAACGCTTTGAGACGTCCTGAAGTGAAAGGTGCTAAATCAATCGTCAGGATTATTATTGTCATTATGTAACAGAACTCATCGGGCAGACCATTTGCCATTGCTGGCTGAGCTCCTGAGCTGGTGATGGGATGATCTGCCTTTGTGTAAGTACAAAGCTGTCCATTAGATAGAATTACACAGAATAATACAACACAGAAAAAGCCCATTCAGCCCAACTAGTCCATACCACATGAATCCCCATCTCTCCTATTTCCCTCTCCTGTACTCCTCTATTCCCTTCTCCTCATGCAAGCATCTAGTTTGCTCTGAAGTAGTTTGCTCTGCTGCTATTTATTTTAACCACAGCTTCCGCAATTAGTTCCTCATTCTCACTACCTTCTTCATAAAGACGTTCCTCCTAAATTCCCTTTTAGGTTGGCTTCTGGCCGGCTAATATCCCCACCCCTACCCCTCTCTTGCCCCCCACCCCCACCCCCCACTCTCCCCACACCCCCACCCCACAACAAGTATTCCATCTGATAACTGGGACATTGCTCTATGCAAATTGGCAGCCAACTTCACCTACAAAATACACAGTAACTACACTTTACAGTAAATCCTGTGAATCACTTTTAGATGTCCTCCTGATGCGATAAGGTACCATATCAAACGCAAAGGTTGTTGTTAGGATTAGTTATAATGGGTGACATTTCCTGCAAATAAACACCCTCTACACTTAAGAGCGATTACCCGTGAAGCGCTTTGAGATGGTTCATTGTTATTGGTGTAGCATCACATTATTATTATTATATATTATTATTATTATATTATTACAAATGACAGAGAAGGAAAGGGGAGTGAAAGTAATATTCTGACGCCCAGATAAAATTTATAAAATGAAATGTTCCTGGCGACTTTTGTGTTTGTACTAGATTTGTAGCATCTGCAGTATTTTACCTTTTATAAAATGAAAGCATTTGGGGTGAACCCAGGTGCAAGAGAGCTTCCATTTACACAGAGAGAGAGAGAGTGAGAGAGAGAAAATGCTAGCCAAACATACCTTGCACTGAATGAAAAAACTCCTGTTTACAGTGAATCTGCCTTCAGTACAAGCTTGAGTGCTGCTCATCCACTACTTAACCCATAAAGTAAAATATTTCTTGCAGATCAATAGGAACCAGTACCTCTAGTTACAAAGCACTTAGAGAAGCTCTCCCTCCCGGGAACAGCCTCCTCTCGTTGACAGCTTTGCCTCTGGTCTGATCTCGCCAGCAGCCTGCTCCTTTCCCCACATTAATCATCTCTGCACAATTTTACTCTCAACTAAACAGTTCACTATCTCCAGCGCTTACACTGGGCTATTTTACATTTAAACCTGGGCGTCAAAACGCCATTTTCACTTGTCTTTCCCTCTCTGCCATATAGAATAACAATAAAAATATGCTTTGCGAGTGTTAGAGCGCCTATGGTGTTCAACCGTCTCAAGTGCTTCACAGGTAATAGCTGTCAAACGTAGTGGCTGTTTATTTGTAGGCAACTGGCAAACACAGTACAATTTACATTCATATAAACACCTTTAATGTCAGGAGGATGTCTCTAAGTGTCTCACAATCAGCCAGGGGGGAAACAGCCAATACTGTCAGATCAATATCAATGTGAACTTACAATGTTCTGACCTAGATAAGGCAGGGAGGGTAGGATTGGTGCAAATGGGTAAATAGGTCACAGATTGATATAAGACAAATAATAAAATAATCCTTACATTTAATATAGTGCCCTTCACGTTAAGAGGACGTCTCAAAGGTGCTGAATTAATTGCAAAGATTATCATTATTTTAACATTTTATCTGGGACCAACAATCCAATGCATAAAATTGGTCATTCCCTTCACGGCTGTATTGCTCTGTGCAAATTGGCTTTGATATTCAACTCCAGATATGTCGTCACTACACTTCACAGTGCAAGACGCTGACAAACAACAACTTGCATTTATATTATTATTATATTATCAATTATTATTTTTTTAAAATTTATTTTTGAAGAGATTATTGCCCCCGGAAATGCGATTTCTAACAACCGGGCTCTTACTGACTGCTGGGTAAACAGAGGTATGTGGAGTAAGGAAATATATTGCCCTGCCCCACAAACATCCCATATTGTCCCACAAACAGCCATTCAGTGAGTAACCAAATACAAAGACTATTATTATATATGGCGAGACATGTCAGTACATTAGTGCAGCTTCGGTGGCAAACCGTGTACGACAAAGCAAATGACTCTGGATCCCCAAGAATAGTTGGGGCTGATGGAACGATGGCAGAGGTAGAAGCAACACAGATCAAAAGCAAGTTTGACAGTGAGAGCAATTGTGTGGGGATATTATTCCAGCTGCGACACGTAACCGGTGACATTCCCGTGGGGTCAGCGCTCGGACAGATACTTGTCAAAATCTACATAAACAATTTAGATCAGGAAATCAGAAGTAGAATTGGTAAGTCTGCTCCCGACACGGAATTGTCCAGGTTTGTGTAATGTATTGTGAAGCCGACTATTAAATATTCAGTGGGATCTGGAGAGCCTGAGCAATTGAACAGATGATAGATTGCCGATTGGTATCTCAGGCAGATAAGAGCAATGTAATGAATGTGGCTGTGAAGAATGCTACTTTTCATAACAGATTTGATGTGATAATTGAGCTTCCAAACTCTCCGCGCAATTTATTGGGGTATTGTAGCTCAGTGGTTAGAGCAAGCACTCGCCTCGCAAGTGAGAGGACCCAGGTTCGGTTCCTGGCCGGGGCAAAACCTTAGGCAGGTTTCCTTACTCCACGCACACGTATCTGTTTACCAGGAGTAAGTGGGAGCCCGGTTGTTAGTCAGTCAATCCACAGCAGTTTGTGGGGACGCTGCTGTGCACAATTGGCTGCCGCTTTTCGCCCACAAAATACACAGTCAATTCACATTACAGTATAGTCTGTGAAGGAATTTGAGGCGGCTGAACGACACGATGAGGCGCTGTATCAAATGCAAGGATTATTATTATTATTTTTTGATATAGGCGAGGAGTTATTCTATTCAGTAACTTTGGGGAATCTGTTCCTGTTGCGATTTGGGATCCTGTTCACTAGAACTGAGAAGGTGAAGGATGACCTGGATGGAGATCTTCAAGATTATGAAGTTTTGGAATTTATTTATTATAATTATTTCATTAATTATTATTATTAAGAAAAGGATTTAGAGAAGGTTGAAAAGCAGACATATTTTATCAAATAAAGTTTGTGAGCTACAAGAGCGTTCAGAAATACAGGAACACAAAGGAATGATCTTAAGTGATCATCTTTACATTTGATACAGCAACATCATGCGGACATCTCAAAAAGCATCACCAGTTACTGTAACGTGCAGTGAGGCAAACACAACAATCAATCAGTGTATAATGTCCCATAAACAGCCATGAAGCGAATGACCAATTGTATTTTGGAGGATTGTTTGCCCAGATCCAGATTGGGGGAAACTCCTTCCTTCTCTCAAAACGGGATCTTTAACGTCCACCTGAACAGACAGGCAGGCAGGCAGGCAGGCAGGCAGGCAGGCTGAGGGATAAAAATTCTGCCTGGAATCTCAATCGACTGGAAGAAACAATAGTGAACAGCCAAACACGGAGATTTAATGTAGATTCACGGAAACCTTGTTCTAAGCTGTTCCTAGCCCCTCCATAAACATGGCCTCCTTTTATATTATATTCTGTGGAAATATTAATGCTCTTGTGGCTAATTTGTAGTATTAACAATTTTCTTAATAAGAAACGTCTTTCAATAGAATCCAAATTCTAAAACATTGGAAAAAATGTGTTCAGCACATTAAACAGTTTTAGAGCTAATGATAAATGACCATTTCTTATTCAGAAATCGGTGAAGAAATAGCTCAAATAGGTCCCAGTGCAATTATTCCCCCCCCCACACCTCCTTCCCCAGAGATGTAAAGGTACGAATACATACTTGATATCACTGAAGGCACTCATTTGCAGCTTCAGAAGATGTGCCAAATCGTCCATTAATTCCAGACCTTTATCTACGCTCAGTGGGCTGTTGGGATGGAGAGGAGAAATACAGCGTTAATAATAGAGTTCATTAATAGCTGGTGAACTAAAGGTCCCAACAGACCGGTCACCTTTGACCATTAAGAGGCTGCGAGCAGCAACGCATTATATTCCTGTCACACTTCACAGTTAGTGATGAGGGAATTGGGATCAGGTGGTTCTCACAGCGAGATGAATAACCTGAATTTTATACCAATCACCCACACAATTAGGTGTAAATGGAACAGTTAAAAATGCCAAGCTACACGGGAGAAGGTTTTTGTCTGTTGGTGAGGGCGGGGGGAGGGGTAAAAAAAAACAAATTTGCAATTACTAATAGTCATGTTTCAATCCAAAATGTAGCCTGTTCTGAAAGGTTAGCTCAATGAAGGCGTCGCTTCCTGATGATTATCAATCTGCCTCCTCTCTCTCCCCAGCCAATTGCTTTACACTGTCCTCACCTCCCTCATCACCACAGCCACCGTCCACATAAAGAGATCAGTCGGGTTCTCTGGGGGCCGGTCTTTGTTCAGGATATTTATAATGTTAAATGTTTCTGGCAGGAGAAGCAGGATAATTGTTCCATTGTTGCTCGCCCACGACAATAACAATATCAATCCCTGCATTTGATACAGTGCCTTGCACTTTGGGAGGACATCTCAAGTCGCTCCACAAGGTTTTCTGTAGGGGTTTGTACTGTATATTTCGTAGGTGGACACAGCAGCCAATTTTGCATCCAGCAAAGTCCCCCCGTCAGCCATAAAGTGAATAAACAATTCTACTTGGGGGTTTCGCCCGCATAATACATAGTCACTCCACTTTACAGTGTATCTTGTGAAGCGCTCTGAGACGCCTCGAAGACGTGAGAAGGCGCGGTATCAAATGCAAGGATTATTATTATTATTATTATTATTATTATTATGTTGGCCAGAACACCAAGAGAAACTCCCTTCTCTTTCTGAATATTGCTGTAGGATCTTTCACATCCACCTGGACAGGTGGAGGAACAGCCTGACCTCCAGCAATGTCACGCTCCCCGCCTCCCCCCCAGCACTGTAACTGAGTGTCAGACCAGAATGGGAGCTCGAAGGCCCAATGTGGGGCTGTGACACCTTGCGATGAGCTGGAGGAACTGGAAGGTAACAAAACCAACCTTTGCCTCCCGTCAGCTCCCCCGTCACCCCACCTCCAAAACATTCATTGTCTTCAGTGCTAATGTGGTTCTGAAACACACACCTGAGAACACAACGAAAAATTCACGCAAGATTCAAACTATGAACAACCCCTTCCTCCCCGGGTACGGCCAGATTAATGGAGACGGATTAACATTCGAGCTGCACGTTGCTCTCGACATCTCTAAACCTCTAAGAAAAGACTGTGCGCCCTCTGAGAGTGGCCAGTAATATTGTGGCATTAAGCAGCTGGTTGACAGTCAGTCTATAAATCCTCGGCATTTCAGTCTATGATCTGCCGCCAGCGTGTCAATATCCTCGAAATGACAGGCTGGGAAAGGTCAGACTTGTGTTTGGTTTCCATGTGATCTGAATTATCCTTTCATAAAAATTATCCTTCTACAAATGCAAGCTGTTATTGTTTTTTTTCCCTCTGAATCTTCGGTTGTTGAAGCTAGTTTGTGTTTTCTAACCTCAGGTCAAGTGGTGAAATACAAGATAAAAATAACAATAATAATCCTTGCATTTGACATAGCGCTTTTCACGAGCGCTAGATGTCTCAAGATGAAGCTACTTCGCCATTTGAGAAGATAACTAATCAAATGTGCAATAGTCAGTTGGGTCATTTAGTTCAGTCTAAGGATTCATTCAGAACTCTACAGCTCAAATCCTTCCCCGCGCACACACTCCTACACAGCCGTCAACCCTGGTCTGTGCCGGACTCCAGTGACTCCCAATCTCTCAGCGGATTTGCTTCCAACATCCTCATGCTCATTTTTCCCATCCCTTTTACAGCCTTGCTCCATTCTATCCAATGGCAGATTGCTTTTCTGGGGATAATAATCCCTTCAAAAAATATATAATAAAAAATAAATAATAATAATTATTTGGTCACTTCAACCCACGGCTGTTTGTGGGACACTGCTGTGCGCAATTGGCTGCCGCGTTTCACCCACAAAATATAGTTAATTCACTTTACATTGTATCCTGTAAAACACTTTGAGATGTCTCGAAGACTTGATAAGGCGCTGTATCAAATGTAAGAATTATTATAAAAATGCACTGTGTAAACCAATGTCTCCTAATCGTTCCCTTTACTCTTTTGATCACATCCAAGCCATGACCCGCTCTGCCTTCCCTCACCTCCGTAACATCGCCCGACTCAACCACTACCTCTCCCCTCAGGCCGCTGAAACTCTTGTTCATGCCTTCATCATCTCCAGGCTCGACTATGCAAAAGCCCTGCTTGTTGGCCTTCCCAACTCCTCCCTCCACACCCTGCAGATAATCCAGAACTCTGCAGCCCGTGTCCTCTCCCACACCAAACACCGTGACCCCATCTCACTCTCGCCCGACTCCACTGGCTCCCTATCGTTTAGAGGATCCAGTAGGTCCTCACCTACAAAGCCCTCCATGGCCTCGCCACACCCTACCTCTGCAACCTCCTAACCCTCTACCAACCTGCCTGTTCCCTCCGCTCAGCCGGCTCCAGCCTGCTCCACGTCCCCCGCCCCACCTGCCCCACCCGCCCCACCACTCTGGAATTCCATCCCCCAGTCACTCCGCCTCACCCCCTCCTTAGCCTCCTTCAAGTCCCACCTCTTTGACCATGCCATCAGCCACCCCCCTTCCCCTCTCCTCTCCCCCCCGACCCCAGCTCGGGCCTGAAATGCTGTCACTGTCCAGCGCCTTGGGATGTCCTCCCGACGTGAAAGCGCTATACAAATGTAATCTTGTTGTTCTTGTTGTTGATGATAATTACCTTCAAACTACGTCCTCTAGTCACTGACTCACCAGCCTGTGGAAGTCATTTCTCCCCGTTTACATTATCAAAACCACAATGTGACAAACCTCTATCAGGAGATAGCCTCGATCTCCTCTCAACCAACACACAGATTCAAGCCCTGGGCTGTTGCTGACTTGGTTTCAGTTTGGCTTTTCGAATGAAAACCAGCCCTAGTCCCTCCAGCCCTTCCTCAAAGGTAGACCTCTTGGTAATTGACAATAATTACATGTGAAACACTCTGTAATGATTCAGAACGACAAAGCACATCACAAATGTAAGTCCTTGCTTTTTAGGTAAATGCTACTTTGTGTTGCACGTATGAATGGGTTCAAGAAGCCAAGAGATTTTGCCGATACAAAATAAGCGATGCACTTGACAGTAATTGCCTGCAAAGTGCTTCGAGGTGTTTTGCTGTTATAGGCACTGAATGAAATACAACGGTTATTAACCAGGGATTTCTACAGAGAGAATAAATTGAGGGAAGGTCAGTGGAGTCTCCTTGGGGCTGAACTAGCTCCAAGGTAACATGTTTGGCAGCGGAATATAAGAATCGAGCCCCCCCTCTGGTCTCTAGTCCGGTTCCTGAGCCAGGAGGGGCCGCAGTGTCCCAGGGCACTCACTGCTGATGGCAGCACAGCCCGGCCTTGACTCATCAGCAGGACCTGGAAGGGCCGACCAGTCATTGAGGGCAGGGAATCCTCCCCCTCAGCTCCTGGTAATCCTGCAGGCAAAGCCCTGATAAGGTAGGGTGGACCTAGCTGGACAAGCAGCGGGAAAGCTTGGCCGGACAGTGATATCAATCGACTCAGATTGACATTTGTCAATACTCACTCTTGATCGGTCACAATGTATCCGTATAAATCGTGTTTGGCTGGAGCCACATCCAGGAAGAGAACTCCTGCCCCCAGCGAGTTCTCCTGAGCTTCCTGATACTGGGGGGGTGTGAGATACATCCCAGTCTGTTGTCTGTAATTTCCCAGCTCCTCTTCCAACAAACCTAGCTCAGGGATGGTCTCTGGGGGCCTGGAGGCCAGGGCCCTGGTCATGGTGTTGCTCTTCACATTTTCTACCCCAAACGTTCCTTTTGATGAGAATCCGGTGGGAGCTCTGGCCTTTTTGTCTGGGTTTTTGTTGGCCTCGAACTCAAGTTCCAGCCTCCCACCAACTTCTGCTTTGTGAGGGCGACCCTGAAATTAAAAGGATTGATCTGAGAAACTCAATAAAAGGATTCCATATGGCCATTGTCTGGAGTTCCACTGAACAGCACCAAAAGGGAAACCTTTCTGAAGCTGTCCATCACTACAATTGGATTTTGACCCGAGGTGTAGGGGCAGTGTGGGGGGTTGGGGTAAGGGAGGGGTGAAGGGAGGGGAGGGTGGGGGTAGGAGGGTGGCCGAAGGTGCGGTCGAAGAGGAGGGTTTTGAGCCATGCCTTGAAGTAGGCAAGGGAGGGAGCGAGGCGAAGGGACTGTGGGATGGAGTTCCAGATGGTGGGGGCAGAGAGGCTGAAGGTTGATGGTGCAGTGGATGGGATAATAAGGTCACGGAGCCTGGTGAGGGAGAGAACACGAGCTGCAGAGTTCTGGATGATCTGCAGCCTGTGTAGGGAAGAGTTGGGGAGGCCGACAAACAGGGAGTTGGCGTAGTTGAGCCTAAATGTGATAAACGCGGGGATGAGGGTGTCGGTGGCCTGAGGTGAGAGGCAGTGGCGGAGCCGAGCGATGTTGCGGAGGTGGGGGAAGGCAGAGTGGGCCAAAAGGAGTAAACTATAGGGGAAAGGACAGGTAATTGAGATTGCTATATAAAATAACCAGCATCGACACCAACGGCCGAATGGCCTTGTACTGTGCTGTAACTCCCAACTCCTCAAGCCCCCAACCCCCTTTGAGGTATCCCTGACTTGAAAAGGCGTTGCATTAAAGTAACTCATTTTATTTTACAAACCTCTTCAACTACATCTTTATATTCCTCCTGGCGTTGTCTTTCTGTTGACACAAAGGGAAACATGGAATATTAGTCACATTCAGAAACGTACAAGAAATGCTGCTGGAGGCCATTGGGTCCATTATTCCCAGTTGTGGTGTTTGTTGGAGAAGGGAATGGGAGGAACTAATGGGTCTGAGGAGATTCTCAAGGCGTATAAACACCGGCACAGGCTGGTTAGGCAGAATGGCCTGTTTCCGTGATGTACAAGTAGCCATCCTTCCTAACCTTTCCTAATCCCAATTCCCTGCTTGATGTATTCGCTGTAATAATCGTATAAAATCCGATTTAATCAATAATCTACACTGCACAAGCATAATTCAATGCAGCCGGTAAGTGCAACAAGACAAACATTTCCCGCGATTCACAGCACTTTGGGGCATCCTCCCGACATGAGAGGCATTAACACAAATGTAATTTGTTGTTGTTGTTGTCTTGCACACTAACCGGCAAGCACAGGAATGCCACTGAATCGTGGGAAATGAAGTTCTTCTGCCCAAGCGTCAATGGAACAAGACAAAGATTCCTGTGATTTATTGCAAACGGCGTAAGTGCACATAGGTCCACGGGTCAGGACACCGCGATTGAAGAGAAACGGTGACTACAGGAGTGATGGACAGTAACTGTAGGAGTGATGGACAGTAACTATACGAGTGATGGACAGTAACTATACGAGTGATGGACAGTGACTGTAGGAGTGATGGACAGTGACTGTAGGAGTGATGGACAGTGACTGTAGAGTGATGGAGGTCAGAGGAGTGGCGAGTTGTGGTGATAAGTACGACCAGTGGAAAAAAATTGCTGTGGTTTTGATGGGAAACTCAATGGGACTTTTGTGACCGCACGACTTTGGTGATTGTACGATATATAAAGGTAAGATTTATGTGAGTTTCACCGTGTTACAATTACCTCAGGAAAACAGAGCGTTAAAGTGTGTTTTAAGCTGACCTGGGAAAGCCTGGTTTCTGATGTGGCTTTGCTCAGGATTGTAGCCGACTTTGTTCACTTCAGACTCTTGTTTCCTTTCGTCTCCTTCGTCCTCGTCCACCACCTGCAGAGCCTCGGCTATGACGCTGGAAAGTTGGTCCAGCTGTTGTGTTGACAGGCCGTCCACATTGACGTGCTGGTTCCCCAGCTTCTGCACCACCGACTCAATGAAGTTCTCTACCGGGCAGAGACAGGCGGAGGTGAGCGCGTACACCGAGATCACCAATGCACTCTGTGCTGTCATACATTACAATTTCGCCCACAAAATGCACAGTCACTCCACTTTACAGTACATTCTGTGAAGCGCTTTGAGACGTCTTCAACCACATGATAAGACGCTGTAGCAAACGCACGGATTATTATTATTATATATAACGTTTTTCACATCAGGAGGATGTTCAAATCGCTTGACAATACTGGCCAGGGGGCCTGGCGGGGGGTTGGGGAGGGGAAAGACAACTGAATGCTCCATCTGAGGGAGGGAGTGATTCTGAGAGTGAGGGCAAAAATAATAATAATAATAATAATAAAACAATATACTTACCCTCTATATCCCCCATCACCGCACCCTCACCAGCCTCCTCTGGCTCCCTATCACGCACTAAACACTGTATCTCATCACCCCAGCCCTCGCCAGCCTCCTCTGGTTCCCTGTCACAGAACGGATGGACTTCAAGCTCCTCTCACTCATCTACAAATCCCTTCACACCCTGGCCCCTCCCTATCTAGAGGTTCAGGTGATGAACACCTTCAGCCCATTTGATCTCATCCTTCCACTAATGTACAATAATAACATGGAGTCCTGTAGCTCAGTGGTTAGAGCACTCGCCTTGTAAGCGAGACACTGGGTTCAATTCCAGGCAGGGCGACACCTTGGGCAAGTTTCCTTACTCCACACAGAGCCTAATAATGATCCCTCCAAAACAAAACAATAATAAATTGGTCATTTTTAATCCACGGTTGTTTGTGGGGACGCTGCTGTGCGCAATTGACTGCTGTGTTTTGCCCACAAATATACAGTCAATTCACTTTACAGCATATTCTAGAACACATGAAAAGCGCTATATCAAATGCGAGGATTATTATTATTATTATTATTATATTACCTCTCTGACCTGCTTACTCCCTACTGCTCGACTGGCTCTGGCCTCCTATTTGTCCCTCGTCCCCTCCGCTCCACCATCGGCAACTGTCATTTCAGCCACTACACTACATCCCGAAATGCTGTCCCTCTCTCCCTCAATCCTTGCAACTCTCCCCCTCACTCCCCACATTCAGATCACACCTGAAGCCCTTCCTCCTCGATCGTCCCTACGGTCCCTCCCCCCGGCTCAGAGTCAGAATCCACCACCACCTGCTAATCGCTCCGAGACCCTTCCCCATGTGGAGGCACAACATGAATGCAAGTTACCATAATACGAGGATTACTATTGTTATTAATAATAAATATTATTTTTATGAATGTTTGCAATTGAACAGCCCAGTGTTTCCTCGTACCGTCCAGGTGACTTAGAGGGTCTCTGGCGCTGGCCTTGACAGGCGGGGCCTTGTACCGTAGTCCCTCCTGTTGGTCTGCAGTCAGTTTGCTGCCCAAGTCCTGCTGGTCTGGGTGGTCAGGATCCTTGGAGGGAAGCGGAGAGATCCTGCTCCCTGCACATCTAACTTTCCCGGCTCAACATCATATGTGTCAGTCTCCAGGGCTCCTTGCTGCCGTGACAGATACTCCTCGAGCTGCGCGATCAGCCCTGTGTTGGGGGGCACGGCGTGATGTGGTTGAGGCAAGGGGCTTCTCTCCGGCTGTAACTGGCTGTAGGTCCTGGGCTGAGGAGGCTCACTGTCCGGCCGACTGTTGTAAAACGCTGCTGAGCTTCTCCCCTTGTTTCTCTGCAGCAGCTCATCCCAGAAAGGCCCCAGGTCAGTGCTATCGCTCTGCCGGGAAAACACACAGTTCATGGGCTCTGCCGATTGGGAATACTTTGCCCAGCTCAGGAGATCAATATACCACTCACTGACCTGTCCTCTCCCTCCACTCAGAAGGCTCTGGTCGGCTCTACATCACCCACCCAGCCCGTCACACCATCAGGGGTCAGGCCTTCAGTCTCTCTGCCCCCACCTTTGGGAAATCCATCCCACCTTCCCTTCGCCTCGCCCCATCCCTCGCCCCCTCCCTCTCCTCCTTCAAAACTCCCTACGACCGCGACTTCGGTCACCCTCCTATCCCTACCCTCCCCGTCCTCCACCCCTCCTGATCCAACCCCCAGCTCGGGTCCAAATCCCTGACTGTCCAGCGCCTTGGGACGTCCTCCTGACATGAAAGGCTTGTGTAAATGTCATGTGTTGTTGTTGTTATTGACGTACAGTACAGTCCCATTGTAACATGGTGGTGGTTGGGGTTTAGAACAGGGTTTGGTCACTTGTCATTGTGTAAGTTTAAGGAATCGGAGCCGAGGCACAAACCTTGACGGTTCGGGTCTTGTGAAATGGAGCTGGATTTGCGGGCTGGGATAGAGCTGTCAGAAGCTGGAAGTAATGGTGCAGAGACTTAAACCCTCGCAGGTCAGTCTCATCCTCCCTTTCATCACGTTCCTTACTGTTGACCCTCTGGGTAGTGATCCTGAAAACATAGACACGCAAACCTGGCAGAATAACACTCAAAGCCACCAGAGATATCGCAAACTGCAATGGGGTTAGATACAGAGTCAAGAGCATTACACAAAACATCAGCCCCTCTAGCCTGTTCCACATGTTTATTAGACCTTGGCAGATCTTTTTATCCCAATGCCGCGCCCTTTCCTCGTATTCCCTGTCTTATAGTCAACCGGGTGTCTGACCCTGAAGGAGACCCATTATTAATGTTTAAGTCTATCAAAACCAGCTGAGGTGCTCCTCACATCACACCTACACATGGAAATTCATACGCATTGGAATGTGCTCTCTCTCTCTGGAGGGACACACCCCGTTTACCTAATTCCAGAAAGTATTAGGCACAGGTTGGCAAGAGCCAAGGCTGGGGACCCCAGAGTTGCATTGGGGTAACTGCTGGAGTCTACCCAAATATCTCTATTAATCAAGAATCTGTCTCTCTTTTAAACGTCTTTGTTGATTCTGGCTCGATAGCTTTTTTGGGGCCAAAGTGTTCCCCATGTTCACAGACTGTGTGTGAAGAAATGCTTGCTGACCCTCGGACTGGGGATGAAACAATTAACTAAAGGGTCAGGAATCCTCAAGGACTTGGCTACAGGAGAATGACTGAAGAGAGAGACAGTGGAAACATTTTATCTCAATGTGACTTTAACAGAAGCGTCTCATTCAAAGGCTGGAGTCTCACAGCTGGGATTCAATATATTTTTTATAATATTTAATGTTATTATCATGCTAGTGTGTACCTGACATGTTATCAGTGTGATCTAACATGTTATCAGTGTGTACATGACGTGTAATCAGTGTGTACATGACATGTGTCAGTGTGTACGTGACGTGTTGTCAGTGTGTACCTGACATGGTGTCAGTGTGTACCTGACATGTTATCAGTGTGTACCTGACATGTTATCAGTGTGTACATGACATGTTATCAGTGTGTACATGACATGTGTCAGTGTATATGTGACGTGTTGTCAGTATATACCTGACATGTTATCAGTGTGTACCTGACGTGTTCTCCAGCTAAGTGCACTCTACCCATTGGGCCTTTGTTTGCAGGGTCACCAAGGATTTGCTGTGGGTTATGGACCAGGCGACATTCCACTTGGTGTGGATGGAATTCTCAGTCTGGTTTGGATGGGATTCCTGACGTGTCAGACCAGCTGAACCGAATGTGTGGGATTGTTGCCGAGGACAGGACACGGGGAGAGAGCAACTCCCTTCTATTTCCCATTATCGCCGCTGGATCTTTGGCGTGGACCTGAATAGGCAGACGGGACCTCGGTTTGATCTGAAGGATGGCACCTCCGGTGATGAACTCCCACCCTCCCACCCCCGCAGGGCATGGAAGGGTCAGCTCCAACTCCCGACCTGGGAGGGTCAGCTCCAACTCCCCCCCCCTCTCGACTCTCTTCCCCCTCCTCGCTCCCTCCCTTCCCTCCCCTCACCCTGACCATTTCCCCCTCTTTGCTCCCTCCCTTCCCTCCCCTCACCCTGACCATTTCCCCCCTGCTCGGGTCATGACCCAACTGTGCAGCGCCTTGGGACGTCCTCCTGACGTGAAAGGCGCTTTATAAATGGAATCTTGTTGTTGTTCTTGTTGTTGGGGCTCGAGCCCCAATCACCTGACTCTGAAGTGAGAGGCTCCCCACAAGGTGCTGCTATTTCCCCACCCTTGCCCAGGAAATGGTGGATGGCTGAGCTCACATCAAACCCAGCACTGACCGGACACCTCGAGTCTCACCTGGGGCCAGTGGAGCTGTCGCTGGAGATGCCTTTATGCCGCAGTAAGTGGATCCACTGCAGGTGTGACAGTTCGGCAGCGACTACTTGCTGAGTGGTGTCATCTCGCCAGCTCAGGCCTGTCACAACACAAGGTGCAGCTGAACACAAACTGCAATTGGCCCCATATCCTTCTCCTCTCGTCTCAAACACACCAGAAATGCATTCGGACACCGTTGCAAACTGACTGTGAAAGGCGCTTTGTGGAGTCCTGGAGCTCAGTGGTTAGACGCTCGCCTCGCAAGCGGGAGACCTGGGTTCGATTCCCGGCAGGTCAGGGCGAAATGTTGGGCAGGTTTTCTTACTCCACATGCATATGCCTGATAATAATCCCTCAAGAAAAAAACGCAATAATAATTTGGTCACTCAATCCATGGCTGTTTGTGGGGACGCTGCTGTGCGTAATTGGCTGCCACGTTTTGTCCACAAAATAAATAGTCAATTCACTTTACAGTATATTCTGTGAAGCGCTTTGAGACGCCTCGAAGACATGAAAAATACTATATCAAATGCAAAGATTATTATTACATATGTACCAAATTATAATTATTATTTTAATTTTGTCTCCTGTTGGTGTGACATCATTTCAAAACGAGGTCAGAGGAGCTGAGTTCTTTCAGGTCTCAGCTTTAAGAACATTGTGTTTTTAGACTTTAGGGTCATGCATAATATTGAAAAATTCTTTCAGTCAAAAGTCTGAAAAAGAACTGTGATAAACTGAGCCCCAAATTCAGACGGAATGAGATGTTTCAACAATACTGCACAATTTTAAGAAATTGAAGATCTTTTTTCTGGTGTGATGGGGGTACGCAGTTTTGTGTGAGTGAGTATCTGAGTGGCAGAGGTTTAAATTCACAAGGAAAGCATTGGAATATTCCGGCTAGGAAGTGTCGAAGATGTGGACAAGGGTTTCAGCTGCTGTGGATGTGAGATACGGACAGAGGCGAGCAATGTGATGGAGGTGGAAAAAAGTGTTCCTGGTCAGGGAACGGATGTGGAGTCGAATCATAGAATCATGTAATTATACAGCACAGAAGGAGGCCATTCGGCCCGTCGTGTCTGTGCCCAAAGAAAGGAAAACTGGGGATTGAACCGGACACCTAAGTTGCGCACGGGTTAGGAGAGTCTGAGGGAGAGTCCGGGGAGGTTGAGGAGTTCAGATCCACAGGAGAGAAGACGTTGATGGGAGCCAAGCAGTATGGCTTCCATTTTGCCAACATTCAGCTACAATACAATACAAAATTACATCTGTACAGCGCCTTACACTTTAGGAGGACGTCCCAAGGCGCTGGAAAGTCGGGGAAATTTGCGGTCATCCAGGCCATGATGACCGTCAAACAAGCTGAGAGGAAATCAGAGGATTAGGAGTTGCAGTTGGAGGCGAAGTGGTAGATTTGGGTGTTGTCAGAGTACATGTGAAAGTTGACGTCGCCAAGAGGGTGCATGGGAGCTGGTGCCCCCTGGTGGTCACTGGCAGCTCCTGCACACAGTGGCTTGGATACAACCTTCCCCAAAGTTCAAAAGGAACAAATCAATAAATAATCCTTGGATTAGACATAGTACCTTAGCACCTCGTTGAGATGTCTCAAAGTGCTTCACAGGATTTTTACTGAGAAGTGTAGTGACTGTGCCCTTTATAGACAAAAGTGTCAGCCAATGTGCACACAGCAATGTGCCACAAACAGCTATGAAGTGAATGAACAATTTTATTTGGGGAGATTGTTGGCCAGGACACCAGGAGTAACTCCCTTCTCTTTTCATATTGTGGGATCCCTTAACGTCCCCTGAACAGGGAAATGAAGATCACAGTTTATTACCTGATGAGGACAATGAAATATTATATAATAATAATATATCAAATAAAATGAACAAATATTCGGCAATGTCGATCAGCCGAGGAGGTGACACGAGGCTTTAGGACGTGATGATGTGCAGACTTGATGTCCCACAAACAGCCAATGAGGTGAACGACCAATGTTTGGTTTGCTCCCGGGGGAATCTCCCTTCTTTTGTGGGATCCTTAACGTCCACCTGACAGACTGATCATCCAAAGGCCGGCGCCTCTGACAATGTTGGGCATCTCCAGCCATAAATGGGATAAATAAATAATCTGAGGCTGAAATCCAACTCTGTTGATCTGCTATGTCATACCACAGGTAACCAGCGGAGGGCACCAATGATCCACTAATAACAGCCACTCCACAGCCTCCAGAGTCTGTAGTAAATCAACAACAACAACAACAACAACAACAAGATTCCATTTATAGAGCGCCTTTCAGGTCGGGGGACGTCCCGAGGCGCTGAGGTAATAACATCTCTATAATTATACAATAAGAATTAATAATAATAAAATAAGAATATAATAATTATTATGATAATAAAATAAGAATATAATTATAATAACCAAATCAACATGTTAGCTTTGCCTTAAGTTTTGCCGAAGAGTTCAGTTCAAGAAAACAATTAATTAGTGCTGTTGTCCTGGCCAACAATCCCCCAAATAAAATTGGTCATTCACTGCTTGCCTATTTGTGGGTCACAGTTGTGTGAAAATTGACTGGCGCATTGGCTCACTACACTTTAAAGTGTCGCACACGCTCGGTGAAGTAGTTTGAGACATCCTCCCAACGTGAAAGTCACTATATCAAATGTGCAGTTTATTATTATGTTTGTTATCATAAGACGCTGTAAAAATACTATTATTTCTTCACTAAATTGCAATCACTTTACATCAATAAGTCAGCTTCTCGCTATTTAAACCTGAATGCCATTGAAACTGCATGTTACAGTCACAGCTGGTGAAAGACAACAGGAGGCAACAATAAGATTAATGGAATGGAAATTTCTTTGCAATAAAATTGTTTAATTCATAAATGCAGCTGAGATTTATCAGCTCAAATTGACAGCGCAGTCTGCACTAGTCCTTAGAGCTCACTAGCATCAAACTAAATGAGACTGGAATTAGACAGAAAAGTACAATAGAAAGAGCCTGTTGATGGCTGGTCAGTATTTAGAAAGGCAAACTATGTGGTTTTAGCTGCTTAAACTTAAATTCCAGGAGTGAACCCAACGCACACACACTCTGGGGCTCAAACAGGAGCCAAGCACTCTCTGGGATGAGATAAACAGGGTACGTTATACTTACTATGTTCACTTTACATAATAAGTAATAATTGTAGTCTGTGACGTGCTTTGAGACGTATCGAAGACATAATAAGGCCCTTTAGTAAATGCCAGGGTTATTATTATTATTATTATAGCTGCAGTTCTCCCCCCAGGACTGTCCTGCGATGGCAGCTTAGATTGTGAACTGAAAAGTGCCGACACTTGGAACTCTGAAATTAGGAATTTAAGAGGTCGACATGAGTCGTTGTGAAGGAGTCGCTTTTTGTGGTAATTATTACCGCTGTGACTGGGCATCTGATCCTGGCAGACACCCTATCATGTCTCATCTCTATAGACTCTTATTGCTACATCTGGCTTTCATCTTGTCTCCGAAATGTAGGTCGGAATTCCTTTCCATTCCATTTGCACAAACTTCAAAAACAGGAATAAATTAACGGGTTTCCATGATCGCCTCTCCTGCACCTTCAACTCCCTCATGTCCCTGAAATCCAAGACCATCTTCAAACCCACCCAATCGCCCGGTACAACAACAATCTCCGCCACCAAAAAACCCAAACCCGTCTGCTCGAATGCGGATGGAGGAAAACTGGTCTGACAGTTCACCGCTAACTGTGGCTCGAGCATTTCCACAGCTACCGCCATTCTTTGACTCTGCCTTCTACTCCAACGTCATCTTGGAGGCTAAACACAACCCAAAAATCCTTTTTTTGACCACCCACTACCTCCTCCGTGCGCCCCCTCAGGCCTCCTCAATCTTCGTATCAAATGCCAAATGCGAGGAGGTTTTCTTCTTTTCTTCTAAAATACTTAACATCCACCAGGCAGCCTCATCCACCTGCCCCTTCTCACCCAACACACTCCCTCTCTTCCCCCTCATCTTCCTCATCATCTGCTCCTACCACCACCCCCATTCTACATTCCTTCCTCCCCATCTCTCCCTCCTGTCTCTCACCCACCATCACCTCCATGAAACCCACCACCTGCTGCCTCAACCCCCTCCCCACCAACTTATTGGTCACACAGCTCCCCACTGCTGGCTGACATCATCAACCAATCCCTCTCCTTCGGATCAGTCCCTGTCTCCCTCAAAAATCGTTCCCGAGATCGCTCAGACCCCAGTCATTACCGCCCTATTTCTAACCTGCCCTTCCTCTGAAAAGTTCTAGAACGCGTCATTGCCAACCAACTCCACACACACCTCCCCTCCCACTCCCTCTTCGAAACCCTCCAGTCCGGTTTCCGCCCACAGTACAGAGACTGCGCTTGTGAAAGTCACAAACGACATCCTCCCTATCTGTGACCAGGGCTCCCTCTGCCTTCTTGTCCTCCTGGACCTCTCCGCCGCGTTCGACACAGTCGATCACGCCATCCTCCTCCACCGCCTTTCCTCCGTTATCCACCTCAGTGGGACCGCATTCGCCTGGTTCGAGTCCTTCTTCACAAGCCACCAGCAGTACATCTGCACAAATCGCTTCTCCTTCCGCTCTCAACGGGGTACTCCAAGAATCCATCCTTGCCCCCCTCCTCTTTCTGATCTATATGCTCCCTCTTGGGGATGTCATCTGCAGACATGGGGTACATGTCCACATGTATGCAGACAACACACAACTCTATTTTTCCACCTCACTTTGCGCCCCCCAGTCCCCTGATGTTCTGCCTGTCAGATCTCAAGGGCTGGATGAGCGCAAACTTCCTTCAGCTGAAAGTTGACAAGATGGAAGCCATACTCTTTGGCTCTCGTCAACGTCTAAAATCTCACGCTCTCACCTCCTCCACCTACCCGACCTCCCCCTAAAACTCTCTGAACCCGTACGCAACCTAGGCATCAGGTTCGACCCACAATTATTCTTCCTCCCCCAAATCCGGTCCCTCACCAGCACTGCTTTCTACCACCTCAGACGCATCGCCCGTCTCCGCCAATACCTCTCCCCAAAAGCCGCTGAAACCCTGGTCCATACCTTTGTCACCTGTCGGCTGGACAACTCCAACACCCTCCTCGCCGGTCTCCCCTCCACTACCTTCCATAAAATCCAGATCATTCAAAACTCTGCCGCCCGCATTCTCACCCGCATTAAACTCCGCTCCCCGATCACCCCCAGTCCTGGCCAGACTGCACTGGCTGTCTGTCCCAGAGAGGATCGATTTCAAGATCCTCACCCTTGTATTCAAGTCCCTGCACTCCTCTGCACCCCCCGACCTCTCTGACCTCCTCTCTCCTCAAAACAGTACCCATTGCCTTAGTTCCTCTGGGTCTGGCCTCCTCCTTGTCCCCCGAGTCCTACACTCCACCTTCAGCCACTACGCCCCAAGGCTCTGGAACTCCCATCTGCACTCCTTTTGTCTCGCTCCCTCTCTTCTTATTTTCAGGTCTCTGCTGAAGACCTTTCTTTTCGACCACGCCTTTGGTCACCTTCCTCCCCCCATCCCCCTCCCCCCAGCTCCTCCCCCTCCCCCCGGCTCGGCCCTGGGATCCGTTACTGTGAAGCGCGCTGAGACGCCGTCCGGCGTGGAGGACACTATATGAATCCAAGTTGTTGTTGTTGTTATTGTTGTTTCCTTAACCCTTTAAGTGTCACACCTCTGACAAATGCTTTCAGAGAGAGAGAGAGAGGAGTGAGAGAGAGATAATAATAAATAAATAATTAATTTAATTCTATTAGATGATCTTATAGAAAATGTCAGGACAGGCTGGAGAGGCTGAATGGCCTCCTCTTGTTCCAATGTCTGTCTGGCAGTAAGGAGCTGAATACAAGATTCAGCAAAGGCAGGACGTTGACATCACGGACAGTAATTTACGTGCATTTGTCATGTGGTCGATGGTCCTTGCGCCCTTTTCCAATGGAAGATTGAAGATTAAAGAAGATATCGTTTGACGATCAATATCTCTTCAGTCAGTAAAAAACAATTGCTTTTCTCTCAGCTTTCAAATCGCAAGATTATGTTTGATGTTTTAAAAATGTGTTTTGCAACGAGATAAGAAGCAAATACCCAACCCCCTCCCCTCTTGCTTCCACCTCCTCTATCCTCTCCATATCCCCCCACTCACCCCTCCACACCTCCCCCAGCCCTCCCGTCCCTCTTTCCCCTCTCATATCTCCCCACGTCTCCCCCTCCCCCACCTCTCCGCATGTAATTAAAAAAAGTCTAATTATTTTGCTAATGTTTTATGTTTTTTAATAATGACCAAGATTTGAGGATAGATACCTTTGACATCAGGAAGAAGTCTCAAGGATACAGTGTAAAGTGGACTGTGCAGGCAATTGCAGCTGCCATGAAGTGAACAACCAATTTTTTAATCTGGATTTTGTTGGCCTGGAATCCGGGAGAAACTCTTTTTTTGTTTCGAGTCATGTCGTGGGATCTTTAACATCCACCTGGACAGGAAGATATCAGCTCCAAGGAGATCCCGCGTACAACAACAACAATTTGCGCCCCTCATGCAGGGCAGTGCCCTAGAGAGCTTGACCCCAACCCGGGGGAGGGGGGAGATGACCGTAGGTACTGATCAAAGAGGAAGGTCTTCAAGCGCCACTTGAAGGTGGGGAAAGAGGGGGCAAGGTGGAGGGATTGAGAGAGAATGTTCCAGAGTTTCAGGGCTTAGTGGCTGAAAGCCTGACCACTGATGGTGGAACAGAGGGCACGAGGGTCAAGGAGGAGGCTGGAGCTTAAAAATAAGGCACATTTGCCTTAAAAATAAATGGCAGCATCCCAGCTCCCCATGAACTGCCACATAAGGTTTAATACATTCCCAGACATTTCCCAACCCACCTATTTTCTTCTTCGTACCAAATGAGCTTTAAATGTATTTTTCTGCACTACAAACGACTTTGGAAACTAGAACTGCGAAATGGTAACATTACACTAACCTCATTTAAAAGCTATCAAATGAAAGACTGTGGCCCAGCTATATATAGTAGATTACCAGACGTCAATGTGATGAACACTTCCAGTATCTTGGGAGGCTCATCTCTCTCTCTCTCTCATGCGCGCTCTCTCGTTCTCTCTCTCTCGCTCTCTCTCCAGTTGGTGCTTGAAGTTTTACTGGGATTTGATCTGAACGAAAGGACTACAAAGTTCACACACAAGATTGGTTTTGATGAAGAAGACCATTTGGCCTATTTAATCTCATTCCTGTAGAAACCCACTCCACTGTCCTCCCATCACAACTAATCTTGTGTGATCTTTTGTGGAGTCCTGCAGTGTATTAGTTAGAGAGCACTCAGTCAGGGCGAAACATTGGGCAAGGTACCATACTCCACACGCCTCTGTTTATTTAGCAATAATAGGAACTTGTTTGTTAGTTGATTGGCGGATCACTTTCTGGGGATAATAATCCCTTACAAAATGTGGTCACTCAATCCGTGACTGTTTGTGGGGACGCTGCTGTGTGCAATTGGCTGCTGCGTTTCACCCACAAAATGAACATTCGATTCACTTTATAGCATATTATGTGAAGCGCTTTGAGACGTCTCAACAATGACTCAGAACACAACTAAAATCACGACATCTTTCACAGCCATGACTGGGAACTCAACTAATTCTTGACATTAACTCTGCAGGATTGCTGTAGACAATTGGTTGGCAGACATTCCTACATAACAAGCGCTGTTAGTTCAGGGCGAATATTATTTGAGTGTCATCTTAGCTCTAATGGCAGCACTTCTGCCTTGGAGTCAGGAAGTTGTGGAATCAAGCCCCCCATCTGGACTTTGAACTCACTAGTCTAGGCTGACAATCCAACTCACTGTGTTGTCAGAGGCGTAGAGTTGTTGAGTTGTTATTAACAGAGGAAATGGAACAAAAATAAGTTTTACAGAGAGAAAAAAAACTTTTAAAAAGACTCGACCTAATAAATGATTTTGCAGAAGAATTTAAATGAAAATTCCGCTTGACGTCCCCTCGCTGATCTCTCCCCTGAAGGTTGATTTTATGATATCATCCCCATAAAGCTACCAAGGTGGGTCTGCTCCAGTTTGTGAGGGATATTTATAGAGTGGATCTGCATTAAATAGTAATTAAACTGAGATTTTATAGAGTCCGTCTTAGTGATAAGGTGACAGATCATGGATCTTTTCATACAGTTGGTATTGTAAAATATTCTACTGTTCTAAATATACAGTAATTACTATTCCTCTTATTAGACCTGACCAATGCTCACTGCTATCAGAAAGCTCGGGAAGAGATTTTAACCCTTTGAGCGCTGTTCTCTCCAGCTCAAAGTGGAGGAAGACAAAGGGTGATTTGATAGAAGTATTTTGATAATGGAAGTCAGGAGTTAGATAGTGGAGAATTGTTTCCTTTGGTCGAGGGATCTATTGAAGGCACAGCCAAGAGAGAATTGAGGTCAGCAAGCATCTCTTCCCACACAGCGAATTGTGAAGATGTGGAATTCTCTATCCCAGAAAGCTGTAGAGACAGGATCAATAGGGATGTTTAAAAGACACATATTTGGGTAATTTAGTTTTGGTCACAGCCGAGGTGTCTATTATATGCGGAACCCATTATTGTGCTTAAGAGTATCCAAACCAGAGGTCCACACGTGCACACCTCCTACACGATGAAATGTCCCTGAATCTGGAATGGAATGCGCCCTCTCTCTCTCTTTCTCTCTCTCTTCCTGGATGGAGGCATCCTGCTTACCTAATTCCAAAGAGTATTAGGTACAGGTTGGCAAGAACCAAGGCCTGGGGACCCCAGAGAGTGAATTGGCGTAACTGCTGGAGTCTAACCAACTAAACCTCATAGCTTGCCATTGATATTGCTGTCCGCCAAGCTTCCTGCTGCTTGTCCAGCTGGGACCATCCTACTCTTCAGAGCTTTGGCTACAGGAGTTAACAGGAGACAAATGCTGCTGCATTTGCTGATAAACATTCAATCACTTCCCCATATAATCCTGCGAAGCGTTTTGAGTCTTCCTCCTGACTTGAAAGAAGTTTTATCAAATGGAAGAATAATTATTATTGTTAGTGCCTCACTGAGTGTCCTCAGGACTTGTCAATACATTAAGAGCTATAATAATAATAATAATCCTTGCACTTGATACAGCGCTTTATTACATCTTTGAGAAGTCTCAAAGCGCTTCACGGGATACACTGTAAAGTGAATTGACCGTATATTTTTTTGGGGCGAAACATAGCACCCAATTGCACACAGCAGCGTCCCACAAACAGCTATGGATTAAAGTGATCAATTTTTTTTAAAGGAATTATTACCCTCGGAAAAGCGATCCACTAATCAACTAACAACCGGGTTCCTGCTTACTGCTGGGTAAATAGAGGCGTGTGGAGTAAGGAAACTTGCCCAACAATCACCCTCCTACCCCTACCCTCCTCGCCCTCCACCCCTCCTGATCCCAACCACTAGCTCAGGTGCTGATCCATGACTTGGGACGTCCTCCTAACGTGAAAGGCGTTGTGTGCAAATATCATGTGTTGTTGTTGTCTCAGTGTAATGTCTCAGTCTGGCAATAAACAGAAAGAGTACCTTGGAGGGACAGTTTATGCAGGATACTCCGGAGGCGTTGAAGATCAGCCGGTGAAACTTCGTATTGATTTACGTCTATCACCGGCAGCTCCTGACACCTCCCAAACACTGCGTCTGAAAAGCAACAAGAAGGAAGATGAGTCAGCGGATTGACAGGGGAACTAAACCTAAACATTCCTCTCAGCTGCTCCCGTTTAAAGGGAATCAGTAACGTGCTCACATTTGCTCAAATAGACAAGGAGGAAAAAAATCTTCTTTTTCAAAGCATTAGCCAGACACTTGTCACAGAGAACAGTCGGGGCAATACAACAACAACAAATGACATTTGTATAATGCCTTTCACATCAGGAGGCAGACAGGACTGCGAGAGTCAGCACCTGCACAATGGGCCACATGGGTTCATTCAGTATCAGTGCTGGAGAGGAGAATAGAGAGTCTGTAACCACATGTTAAAGCACCTTTCACATCAGACAGGAACTGCCAAAGTCAACGATGTGCACCTGAGCTGGGGGTTGGGATCAGGAAAGGTGAAAGGCAGGGAGGGTGAGGGAGAGATCATAATATATAATAATAATAATAATCCTTGCATTTGATACACCACCTTATCAAAGCTTCGAGACGTCTCAAAGTGCTTCACAGGATATACTGTAAAGTGTAGTGACTGTGTATTTTGTGGGCGAAACACGGCAGCTAATTGAGCACAGCAGCGTCCTCACAAACAGCCGTGGATTGAAGTGACCAATTTATTATTATTAGGGATGGAATGTGGTCACTAATTTCAACACTGTTTCTAGGAAGTCGCTTGTGTGCAAATTGGCATTTGCCTATAAATATGCACTCGCTATATTTTACAAAAATACGCTTTGAGACATGTGGCCGTGATGAGGCACTATATCAAATGCCAGGATTATTATTATTAATCAAATGGTGAATTTCATAATAAGATTGAAAAAACTAACAATAAACCACTTGTTGCGATATAAGAGTCGCCCCCTTTAAATCAGGGCTGCTCTTATTATTAATGCTATGCAAATTGACGCATGGATGACAAAGCCATCAGCTGATGGAAATGCTTTCAGCAAATGAGATGATGTATAATGTATTAAACATAATATTCGGAAAAGGGAAAGGCTGAAATGTTCGCACGGGGTTTAATAACCACAGAATAAAATATATTAAAACTTGTCATTTGATCTCTTAAAAGTGCGACACTGAGGATCTTGTCAATTAAGTAGAATTCTGAGTGTGGCACAAAAAGCAATTTTGAGATCACATTGAGAATGTTAAAGAGTAAAACCACTGCCTCTGGTGAACAATTGTTCCTAATCACCGACATCTCAATGATGAGATTAGGCTGCATTTTACAGTCTGACTGAAACAGTGTCCCAGCCCTTCTCAACGTTTATATTGTCAACCTGAGACACTCAGCACATCCCTGACATTGTCATCATGTTCTCTCTCAGACCATTATTGTCTGTAAAGCGTAAAAGACAAGATTGTGTAGAATTTGTGGACAGTTTTTGAATATTGAGTCTGTCCCAGCACCACATTGGGACCACCCTCCAGTGCAGTGCTGGAGAGATCACTGTGAGAGATCAGTGCTGTGATTCGGATGAGATGTTGAACTGAGGTCCTGTCTGCCTGTTCAAGTCTGCCTCTCTATGGCTGTATATCACCCTCTCTATAGCCTGTATATCACCCTCTCTATGGCTGTATATCACCCTCTCTATGGCTGTATATCACTCTCTCTATGGCTGTATATCACCCTCTCAATGGCTGTATATCACTCTCTCTATGGCTGTATATCACTCTCTCTATGACTGTATATCACCCTCCGTATGGCTGTATATCACCCTCTCTATGGCTGTATATGTACAAGCTGCATTGAGGGACAAGGGAATCTGTTCTTTCGTTCAGGATTTTATATGTTATCAAAGAAGGTTTTCCTGGAGACAATCATCATTTTGTGTTTGAAATAAACATCTTACATTTGGTTGTGCTTTAAACCACCATCAATTTGCAAAGCTGTATCTGCTCAGAATCAGCTTAAAGGGGCAACAACAACTTGCAGTTATATTGCACCCCTCACGCGGGCTCGTGTCCCAGAACCCTTACTGTGCATTCCAGTCTCCCCGAGTCCCTCACATCTTGTAGGGTTCACGCGGCAGATCTAATGCTTCACTGATTGTATTGAAGTGAGAGGATTGCCACACGATTGCCACAGTGTGTGTTGCTTCTGACATCCCAGCTTTTCAGTGGAGAGAGAGAGACCTAACACTAGCAACAGAGACAGAAACAGCAAGTTCACAAGATGGGTTTGGATGAAGACAGCCCTTGATTCTGAGCAGGTCGGACTCTTCAGTCTCGAGAGAAGATGACTATTATTATCTTGTGAGCTTTCAAGCTCTGACAATTACTAAAGCATTTGCAGATCCAGATGCTGCTGAGAAACAGGCACAAGATTGAAAGGTGTAATAAAATAAGAATAATTCTTGCATTTCATATCACGTCTTATCAACTCGTCAGAATGTCCCAGAGCGCCTCACAGAGTATACTGTAAAGTCTGGTGACTGTATATTCAAAGACAAATATTTACTCTTTTACTGACACTGAGCATTGCCAGGAGAGACTCTGTTGCCGTTTATCGCTGTGCCTGCGAGTTATTCTCATTCAGGTGACGTGCAGTTTCCTGACCTTAGACCCTGTCAACTTAATAATTTTGTGCAATTGCACCAAACTCCCAAAGCAATTGATGGGCCTGAAGGCAAAGCAACAACAACTTGCATTTATACAGCCCTTCATGAGGGGCAGCGTCACAGAACGCAGTGCAGTTAAACAAGGACCTGGGCTGATTACTGGCAAATGAAGCTGAATACAGATAATTTCATGGTTTACTATAGACAGGAGGAAGAATAGAAAACATGGATTTCATAAATAGGATGGAACTTGTCAAGGGAAAAGCTGGAAGAGATCAAGGGGTGTCAGCAGTAGGTGCTGGGCCTTACTGCTGAACCTGTTGTGTTTAAATCCCCGGAAGTCAGGCCACAACGAGAGCACAGTCTGGAGGTGTAGTGGCTGTAAGCACGGCTGCTAATAGTGGAGCAGAGGGCACAAGGGATGTGTAGAAAGGCTCCCAAGTACAACCTTCCCCTTCCCATCTCCTGCTCACATGTTAAATGATCTTTTTGCCTGTGTGTTGCAGTGAGGTCCTGGGGCTCCAGTCTGCTCTGGGATAAAACAGCAGCAAATGGATCTCTCCACAGGCACCGCAATTCATTCCCATCCTCCAGCGGTTACTAAGCAACGGCATGTGTTAACATTGGATGACGTTTTGATGAGAAGTTTTGAGAAGAGGACAGCAGTAGCCAGCGCTGGTACTTTGTTTGCAGTTTGGTGACAGTCGGGTGTCTGACACGCGCGGAACCCCATCACCTGATTAGCAGATTCCACACCAAACTGAGATTACCAAGTTTGTAATAATAATAATCCTTGTATTTGATACAGCGCCTAATCACATCTTGAGACGTCTCAAAGCGCTTCACAGAATATACTGTAAAGTGGATTGATTATATTTTGTGGGCGAAACGCGGCAGCCAATTGCGCACATCAGCGTCCCACAAACAGTGGTGGGTTGAGTGGCCAAAATATTTGTTTATTTATTTACTTTTGGAGGGATTATTATTCCGGGAAAGCAATCTGCCAATCGACTAACAACCGCGTCCATACTGACGGCTAGGCAAACAGAGGCATGTGGAGTAAGAAAACTTGTCTAAGGGGTTGAACCCAGGTCCTCTCACTTGCGAGGTGAGAGCACTAACCACTATGCTACGTGACTCCATGTTTGCCAACTACACATGGAAATTTCCCCATGTTTGGAGTTAAATGTGCACTCTCTCTCTCTGGCACTGTATCAGACGCTGTGACAGCCTAAACTGTGTGAATACAAACCTCAAGAGATACTTGCAGAGCAAAGCCAACGTCAGTGGGTGATTAACACTGTCGTTGTCTCTCACTTTCTGAGCCTTGGAGCTCACAAAAAAGCCAACAAAACGCATTTGTCTGACACGGAGATATTCAATGTAAAGCTGTAACCCTTGGAGATGACCCTCGGCACCAATGATCAGTGCTTAATAACATCCACCGTTGTCATGGTAACCACAGACTATCTGGGACGGCCTCTAGAGAATTCTACAGAAGGATCTGGCGAGCTCTGGTCAAAACAAAACACTAATCGGCACAGCAGCCTCTCTGTGGATGTGGAACTCAATGCTCAGGGAGGTCTCATCACCCGTCGGTGGACATTACAGTCTGGTTCAGGCTGTGAGCCTCCCTCCACTGTCCTCGGTTCAGGAGTTTGTGGGTTCGAGCCCACTTCGGGCCATGAGCTCACAATCTAGGCCATGATCCATCTCACTGCATGTCAATGCCTTCAGACGTCCTCCCAACATGAAAGTAATAATAACAATAATCCCTGCATTTGATATAGCGCCTTACCATTGAAACGTCTCAAAGAGCTTCACAGAATATACTGTAAAGTGAAATGACTGAGCCATTCAGTTCACGGATCCTGTCTGTCTGCTTTATGTGTTGATAAATCAGCTTCTTGTTTTACATTAATCTCACGTTTTGATCGTCAGCTCACATTATGAGGGTGAGCTCCATTTCATGGTATAACAGCGTCACCGGGTTCAGCTGATCACACTCTTGTCTCTGAGTCAGAATATCTGCTTTCCTGATTCCCCCGCCCCAGGGCAGAGCAAGGCGCGCACTGAGCTCCAGCTGTTCTCTCCGGACTCTAATGCCTTTACAAAGTGATTTCATTCGAAGTTAAATTAGGCAACAAGGAGACGAGGTTTGTGCTTTACCCAGAGTGAGAAGAAGACTTTGGGGATAATAGTTTGGGCTCAGGGCCACACACAGACACGTATGTTGTTACTCCGTGACCAATGGAATGAGTGTTTTTTGTTTCACAAACTTCCCGTAACTAATGGTGGTTGAGCTGATAGCGCCAACTTCCTCTGTATAGCCACTGTGCAAGTGTGTGTACACGTGTGTGTACGTGTGTGTGTGTGTGTATATATGTGTGTGTGTATATGTGTGTGTGTGTGTATATG